AATGAGGTCGACAGGATCTATGTATCAAAGATTGACAGTTTAATTGTAACTGATTCTCTGTCATCCATAAATGCTCTCAACTCATTAAGCATAAATTGTGGCATGCTTGTGTCAGAAGCCAGACACAGGTATGGTAGGATTGTGGACAGTGGAGTCAGAGTGCACATGCTGTGGATTCCATCTCACATTGGTCTTCAGATGCATGATAGAACTGATAAATTGGCTAAGCTGTATGCTTTCAAAGAGGGGGTAGATTACAATCTTGGCTTGTCAGGTAGTAGTTTGAGAACAATAATACGAAAAGAACTTCAGCTGAATTTTATGGACTTAAGGCTCAGGGAGATTGACACCAGTGAGTCCATCTATCATCATTTATCATGCAGGAGGAGCCACATGTCTATGGTGCATCCAACAAGATAAGCAGACTCTTGGATGTCACTACTGCCCGGTCCGGCTGGGTTACAAGTATCTTTGGCAGGTTAAATCACCACCACCAGATGTAGACCAAACGAAATGTAAACTTTGCCAGATGGATTATTGTCACACCTTGCGTCATTATGTACTGGAGTGTGATAAAATTAATGAATTTAGAAACAACTCACTCAGAAGTGTTCAAGAAATGGCTAAGTATTTTATCCACAGTGGTATATTACAGACCATTCTGGAGAAATACCCTGACTTTGCTAGCTGTAAATAAAGCATTACCACATATGTGCATGTGTGTGTGTGTTGTGTGTGTGAGTGTGTGTGTGTTTTGTGTGTGTGTGTGTGTGTGTGTGTGTGTGTGTGTTGTGTGTTTGTGTGTATGTGTGTGAGTGTGTGAGTGTGTGTGTGTGTGTGTGGTGTGTGTGTGTGTGTGTGTGTGTGTGTGTGTGTGTGTGTGTGTGTGTGTGTGTGTGGTGTGTGAGTATGAGTGTGTGTGTGTATGAGTGTGTGTGTGTGTATGAGTGTGTGTGTGTGTATGAGTGTGTGTGTGTGTGTATGAGTGTGTGTGCGTGTGTGTATGAGTTTGTGTGTGTGTGTGTGTTTATGTGTGTGTGTGTATGAATTTGTATGTGTGTGTGTGTGTGAGAGAGAGAGACTCAGCAATCAACATTTGCACCAATAACTCACTACAGTTGTGACCGGGTGTGGAAGTGTGAATTGCTCATTACTCTAAAATTTGTTCATGATTGCACCCATGTATAAACGTAAGTAACCATTCTTACAGTATTCATTACCTTTGTAACTTGTGAGTTCATTACCTTTGTAACTTGTGAGTTCATTACCTTGTACCTAGTTCAGCCATCAAAACTTTGGAGCCCGGTCCCTGGACCCATTGTGTACCTCTGTAATCTGTAAATACCTTTGTAACTTGTCATGATTGTGACTAGACCTACCTGGAGTTCATTACCTTTGTAAATTGTGAGTTCATTACCTTTGTAAATTGTGAATTCATTACCTCTGTAACTTGCTCAGCTATCAAAACTTTGAGGCCCAGTCCCTGGACCAATTATGTACCTCTGTAATCTTTTGACTACCGCCCACAGGATGGGTATGGGGTGCATAATAAACATATTAAACTAACTTAAACTAACAGGATAGCCATCTGGGAACAAAAATGGAGGATCAAAACCAATGCAGCTAAATCCAGCATTAAATATTTTTACAGGAAACGTGATCCTCCATTACCTGTCGAGCTCAGAACAGCTGACACCCGCACTTACATCCCCATCACACAATCTGTCACTGTCCTTGGCGTTAATCTTGACTACCTTCTTCGTTTACACGGACACTTTCACTCAAGGCATGCAATAGCTAGTAAATCCCTTGCGGGCCTCTACAAACTGAAACATGCCTCTCAACGCACCAAACTACACCTCTACAAATCCCTAATACGTCCTCTGATTTACTCTCCTCTAGCCCTCTCTCTTGCAGAGATTTTTAGATTTTGCCACCGAAGTGGCTAGTTTATTGTGCACCCCATATCCATCCTGTGGACGGTAGCGCGAGAGCATATGGATACACAAAAGGCCTAGGAACTAGGCCCCAAAGGGTTAACAGGAATACATATGGATTTATATCTACATATCTATAGTTCTCTTGCAGCAAAAACAAACTCACTTAAACTGCAGCGTGTCCGGAGGAAGGCGCTTCACTGGGTGCTTGATGTCAGATGGGAGGACTTCGCCACAAGCGAGTCTCTCCATGCCCAATTAGACATCCCTGCGCTGAATCTGTACTGGAAGACGCTTAGTGACAGACAGACAAACTTGAGACACGACATGACTACTGGACCTCTCTCCTTGACGAAGACATTCGCAGACCCACAAACCAACACAATCTTTTCTACTTCCTGCATGATCCTGCTCCTAACCCTATTTACAAATAACCTTGGATTCTCTGTCAGGTATCTTGCGCTGTTCGTTCCCTGACCCACGTTCGCCTTTGCTGCTGGGTTAAGCCCTGGCTCTATTTCTACGACTAAGAACACTCCTCTCCAGCGCTATTCTTCATCTGTCTCGTCTTCCCCGCTCATCCCATTTGGGATCATACCTGCACTTGTTCGTTCGTCCGCTCGTTCCTTTCCGTAGTGTGACTTTGTAAATGGTCCAAGTCGGACCGAAACGTCGTCGTAAGCTCCTCTCTTCTATGTGCGGGTTATATGTGTATAGTTCCAGTCACGGTATTGTGCCTTTTTTTGTTATTTGCAATAATGTATTTTTGGTATGGTTTCATAATATGGTAATGGCATGGTAACATAGTGTATTACTGGTATGATACCAGTGTATTATTGGTATGGGATCAGTGTATTACTGGTATCGTTCCAATGTAGTACTGGTATAGTATCAGTGTATTATTGTTATGGTACCAGTGTATTACTGATATGGCACCATTTTATTACTGGTATGGTACCAGTGTATTACTGGCTTGGTAACATACTATATTTCTGTTTAAAACACAACACTAAGTGGTTCTCCTGATAAATAGATAAGGATTAGATAAGAGAGTATATACAGGATGTGTAGCGTTACCAGCTATTATTGAGCTGTGGTTGGTTGGTTAATGGGGTTTAAAGTCTACTACACGAGGGTCATTAATTAAGACCGGTTGGTTAATGGGGTTTAAAGTTTATCTACTACACGAGGGTCATTAAGGCTGCATGTCACCTGTAAACTGCCAGTCAAAAACACTAATACCTAAAATAGTGATTAATGTAAACTATCAGTGTATATACACTGAAAATATACACCTGTCAGTGTTATATACACTGAGATGTGAATATCTCAGTGTTATATACATTTAGAGGTGTATATTTCATTGCATGTACACTGAGATATTCACATCTCAGTGTATATAACACTGACATGTATACATCTCAGTTTATATTCACTGAGATATATACTTCCCAGTGTATATACACTGAGATGTACACCCCTCAGTGTTTATACACTGAGATGTACACCCTCAGTGTATATACACTGAGATGTACACCCCTCAGTGTATATACACTGAGATGTACACCCCTCAGTGTATATACACTGAGATGTACACCCCTCAGTGTTTATACAATGAGATGTACACCCTCAGTGTATATACACTGAGATGTACACCCCTCAGTGTATATACACTGAGATGTACACCCCTCAGTGTATATACACTGAGATGTACACCCCTCAGTGTATATACACTGAGATGTACACCCTCAGTGTATATACACTGAGATGTACACCCCTCAGTGTATATACACTGAGATGTGCACCCTCAGTGTATATACACCGAGATGTACACCCCTCAGTGTATATACACTGAGATGTACACCCCTCAGTGTATATACACTGAGATGTACACCCCTCAGTGTATATACACTGAGATGTACACCCCTCAGTGTATATACACTGAGATGTACACCCCTCAGTGTTTATACACTGAGATGTACACCCCAGTGTATATACACTGACATGTACACCCTCAGTGTATATACACTGAGATGTACACCCCTCAGTGTATATACACTGAGATGTACACCCTCAGTGTATATACACTGAGATGTACACCCCTCAGTGTATATACACTGAGATGTCACCCCTCAGTGTATATGCACTGAGATGTACACCCCTCAGTATATATACACTGAGATGTACACCCCTCAGTGTATATACACTGAGATGTGCACCCCTCAGTGTATATACACTGAGATGTACACTCCTCAGTGTATATACACTGAGATGTACACCCTCAGTGTATATACACTGAGATGTACACCCCTCAGTGTATATACACTGAGATGTACACTCCTCAGTGTATATACACTGAGATGTGCACCCCTCAGTGTATATACACTGAGATGTACACCCCTCAGTGTATATACACTGAGATGTACACTCCTCAGTGTATATACTCTGAGATGTACACCCCTCAGTGTATATACACTGAGATGTACACCCCTCAGTGTATATACACTGAGATGTACACCCCTCAGTGTATATACACTGAGATGTACACCCCTCAGTGTATATACACTGAGATGTACACCCCTCAGTGTATATACACTGAGATGTACACCCCTCAGTGTTTATACACTGAGATGTACACCCCTCAGTGTATATACACTGAGGGGCATTACTAGTGCTGGCAGTGTACCGATTTTTAACGTCCTGGGCACGATGTGGTCACCCATTCTTCTACTGACCACACCCAACACAGTATACCCAACAGCTGAATAAATCCCCCAAATATTGTATGCTGTAATACAATAGGTACGATAAAGCTTCCCCTGTCACCCCCCACAAGGACCGAGAGAGTTTACCCCCACCCTGGGGGAGTTGTAGCTGGCGGGTGTACGAGTCTTTCACCCAGCCACTTTGTCCTCTAAATATTAAGCTTTTATTCCAATATATTATTTATTTTAATGATATTTCATCCTCTATACCTCTTATACCCAACAAGTGAAAAGAATCCCAAAAATATTGCATGCAGTATGATAGAGTAAGTACGATAACCTCTTCCATGGCAGATCCCCCCCGGCAGCACCAGTGTTTACACTCAGCGCCGGAGTGCTGAAACAGGCGGACGTACGAGTCTTCCTCCATATCACTCTATCCACTATCTAGTAAGTTTTTATACCAATGAATTATTTATTATAATTACTCCCATATACCTCTATAATCTGACAAATTGATTATAACGATTAATAACTGGTAGATAAATATATTACACTGGACTAAGTGGTTTAACTGCCGTGATAATAAACTTGATCAACAAAACTTTACCAGAGGTGGGGTTAGAACCCGCGGTCAGAACCTTACCAGAGGTGGGGTTAGAACCCGCGGTCAGAACCTTACCAGAGGTGGGGTTAGAACCCGCAGTCAGAACCTTACCAGAGGTGGGGTTAGAACCCACAGTCAGAACCTTACCAGAGGTGGGGTTAGAACCCGCAGTCAGAACCTTACCAGAGGTGGGGTTAGAACCCGCGGTCGGAACCTTACCAGAGGTGGGGTTTAGAACCCGCGGTCAGAACCTTACCAGAGGTGGGGTTAGAACCCGCGGTCAGAACCTTACCAGAGGTGGGGTTAGAACCCGCGGTCAGAACCTTACCAGAGGTGGGGTTAGAACCCGCGGTCAGGTCTCTGGACGGTCTGGAGTTGTGTGACTGACCGCGGGTTCTAGCCCCACCCGTGGTAAGGTGTGTTTACAATCGTGTTATTACGATTTTGTGAGAAGTTTTAATAAGTAAAACCTTCCTGTTTTATGTTGAGTCAGGCTGAGATGTTAATTATCGTGACCTTGATGTTATATTTAACATGATGTACTTAACTATCGTGACCTTGATGTTATATTTAACATGATATAGTTAGCTATCATGACCTTGATGTTATATTTAACATGATGTAGTTAACTATCGTGACCTTGATGTTATATTTAATATGATGTAGTTAACTATCGTGACCTTGATGTTATATTTAACATGATATAGTTAACTATCATGACCTTGATGTTATATTTAACATGATGTAGTTAACTATCGTGACCTTGATGTTATATTTAACATGATATAGTTAACTATCATGACCTTGATGTTATATTTAACATGTAGTTAACTATCGTGACCTTGATGTTATATTTAACATGATATAGTTAACTATCGTGACCTTGATGTTATATTTAACATGATGTAGTTAACTATCGTGACCTTGATGTTATATTTAACGTGATATAGTTAACTATCGTGACCTTGATGTTATATTTAACATGATGTAGTTAACTATCGTGACCTTGATGTTATATTTAACATGATATAGTTAACTATCGTGACCTTGATGTTATATTTAACATGATATATTTAACTATCGTGACCTTGATGTTATATTTAACATGATGTAGTTAACTATCGTGACCTTGATGTTATATTCAACATGATATAGTTAACTATCGTGACCTTGATGTTATATTTAACATGATGTATTTAAAACTATCGTGACCTTGATGTTATATTTAATATGATGTAGTTAACTATCGTGACCTTGATGTTATATTTAACATGATATAGTTAACTATCATGACCTTGATGTTATATTTAACATGATGTAGTTAACTATCGTGACCTTGATGTTATATTTAACATGATGTAGTTAACTATCGTGACCTTGATGTTATATTTAACATGATATAGTTAACTATCGTGACCTTGATGTTATATTTAACATGATATAGTTAACTATCATGACCTTGATGTTATATTTAACATGATTTAGTTAACTATCGTGACCTTGATGTTATATTTAACATGATTTAGTTAACTATTGTGACCTTGATGTTATATTCAACATGATATAGTTAACTATCGTGACCTTGATGTTATATTTAATATGATGTAGTTAACTATCGTGACCTTGATGTTATATTTAATATGATGTAGTTAACTATCGTGACCTTGATGTTATATTTAACATGATATAGTTAACTATCATGACCTTGATGTTATATTTAACATGATGTAGTTAACTATCGTGACCTTGATGTTATATTTAACATGATATAGTTAACTATCGTGACCTTGATGTTATATTTAACATGATATAGTTAACTATCGTGACCTTGATGTTATATTTAACATGATATAGTTAACTATCGTGACCTTGATGTTATATTTAACATGATATAGTTAACTATCGTGACCTTGATGTTATATTTAACATGATGTAGTTAACTATCGTGACCTTGATGTTATATTTAACATGATATAGTTAACTATCGTGACCTTGATGTTATATTTAACATGATATAGTTAACTATAGTGACCTTGATGTTATATTTAACATGATATAGTTAACTATCGTGACCTTGATGTTATATTTAACATGATATAGTTAACTATCGTGACCTTGATGTTATATTTAACATGATATAGTTAACTATCGTGACCTTGATTCCCAGCCAGAGTAGAAACATTGGACGTGTTTCTTTCCACCTGTTGTCTATGTTCCCCATCAGTAAAATGGGCACCTGGGTGTTAGTCGACTGGTGTGGGTCGCATCCTGGGTGTTAGTCGACTGGTGTGGGTCACATCCTGGGTGTTAGTGGACTGGTGTGGGTCACATCCTGGGTGTTAGTCGACTGGTGTGGGTCACATCCTGGGTGTTAGTGGACTGGTGTGGGTCACATCCTGGGTGTTAGTGGACTGGTGTGGGTCACATCCTGGGTGTTAGTGGACTGGTGTGGGTCACATCCTGGGTGTTAGTGGACTGGTGTGGGTCACATCCTGGGTGTTAGTGGACTGGTGTGGGTCACATCTGGGTGTTAGTGGACTGGTGTGGGTCACATCCTGGGTGTTAGTGGACTGGTGTGGGTCACATCCTGGGTGTTAGTGGACTGGTGTGGGTCGCAACCTGGGTGTTAGTGGACTGGTGTGGGTCGCAACCTGGGTGTTAGTGGACTGGTGTGGGTCGCATCCTGGGTGTTAGTTGACTGGTGTGGGTCGCAACCTGGGTGTTAGTGGACTGGTGTGGGTCGCAACCTGGGTGTTAGTGGACTGGTGTGGGTCGCAACCTGGGTGTTAGTGGACTGGTGTGGGTCGCAACCTGGGTGTTAGTTGACTGGTGTGGGTCACATCCTGGGTGTTAGTGGACTGATGTGGGTCGCAACCTGGGTGTTAGTGGACTGGTGTGGGTCGCAACCTGGGTGTTAGTGGACTGGTGTGGGTCGCAACCTGGGTGTTAGTTGACTGGTGTGTGTCACATCCTGGGTGTTAGTGGACTGGTGTGGGTCGCAACCTGGGTGTTAGTGGACTGGTGTGGGTCGCAACCTGGGTGTTAGTTGACTGGTGTGGATCACATCCTGGGTGTTAGTGGACTGGTGTGGGTCGCAACCTGGGTGTTAGTGGACTGGTGTGGGTCGCAACCTGGGTGTTAGTGGACTGGTGTGGGTCGCAACCTGGGTGTTAGTTGACTGGTGTGTGTCACATCCTGGGTGTCAGTGGACTGGTGTGGGTCACATCCTGGGTGTTAGTGGACTGGTGTGGGTCATATCCTGGGTGTTAGTTGACTGGTGTGGGTCACATCCTGGGTGTTAGTGGACTGGTGTGGGTCGCATCCTGGGTGTTAGTTGACTGGTGTGGGTCACATCCTGGGTGTTAGTGGACTGGTGTGGGTCACATCCTGGGTGTTAGTGGACTGGTGTGGGTCACATCCTGGGTGTTAGTGGACTGGTGTGGGTCGCAACCTGGGTGTTAGTTGACTGGTGTGTGTCACATCCTGGGTGTTAGTGGACTGGTGTGGGTCGCATCCTGGGTGTTAGTTGACTGGTGTGGGTCACATCCTGGGTGTTAGTGGACTGGTGTGGGTCACATCCTGGGTGTTAGTGGACTGGTGTGTGTCACATCCTGGGTGTTAGTTGACTGGTGTGTGTCACATCCTGGGTGTTAGTGGACTGGTGTGGGTCGCATCCTGGGTGTTAGTTGACTGCTGTGTGTCACATCCTGGGTGTTAGTGGACTGGTGTGGGTCGCATCCTGGGTGTTAGTTGACTGGGGGCTCTGGTGGCCTGGTGGTTAACGCTCTCGCTTCACACGGTGAGGGCCTGGGTTCGATTCCCAGCCAGAGTAGAAACATTGGACGTGTTTCTTTCCACCTGTTGTCTATGTTCCCCATCAGTAAAATGGGTACCTGGGTGTTAGTCGACTGGTGTGGGTCGCATCCTGGGACACTGACCTAAGGAGGCCTGGTCACAGACCGGGCCGCGGGGGCGTTGACCCCCGGAACTCTCTCCAAATAAACTCCAGATAAACTGGTTTGGGTCACATCCTGGGTGTTAGTGGACTGGTGTGGGTCACATCCTGGGTGTTAGTGGACTGGTGTGGGTCACATCCTGGGTGTTAGTGGACTGGTGTGGGTCACATCCTGGGTGTTAGTGGACTGGTGTGGGTCACATCTTGGGTGTTAGTGGACTGGTGTGGGTCACATCCTGGGTGTTAGTGGACTGGTGTGGGTCACATCCTGATTGTTAGTGGACTGGTGTGGGTCACATCCTGGGTGTTAGTGGACTGGTGTGGGTCACATCTTGGGTGTTAGTGGACTGGTGTGAGTCACATCCTGGGTGTTAGTGGACTGGTGTGGGTCGCATCCTGGGTGTTAGTGGACTGGTGTGGGTCACATCCTGGGACACTGACCTAATTTGCCCGAAATATTCAGCATAACAAGCGGCTTTCTATATAGAAGTATGTCATTGATGTCATTGTAGTAATTATATTATTATTATTATTATTATTATTATTATTATTATTATTTTTATTATTATTATTATTATCATCATTATTATAGATTATGTGATAACAATAATGAGCTGCGGTACAAAGTGCCACTATCATGCCTCAACATTATGGGCAGACTAAATTTAATGGCTTACAGACTACTTAATACTAGAGAAATTGATCATAGTTTGTTTAAATTATACAGGCCCGGTGGCCTGGTGGGGGTGGCCCGGTGGGGGTGGCCCGGTGGCCCGGTGGCCTGGTGGCTAAAGCTCCCGCTTCACACACGGAGGGCCCGGGTTCGATTCCCGGCGGGTGGAAACATTTCGACACGTTTCCTTACACCTGTTGTCCTGTTCACCTAGCAGCAAATAGGTACCTGGGTGTTAGTAGACTGGTGTGGGTCGCATCCTGGGGGACAAGATTAAGGACCCCAATGGAAATAAGTTAGACAGTCCTCGATGACGCACTGACTTTCTTGGGTTATCCTGGGTGGCTAACCCTCCGGGGTTAAAAATCCGAACGAAATTTTATCTCTTATCTTATGGCGCTGATAATACTGGGTAATTACGATATCATTACCAGTAAATTTTATCTGCTTATCATATTTATTCTAAAATTATATCACACATAAAATTAACATCACCATAATTAGGACGGTCAAATTAATAAGTGGTATCTTATACAGAGTGGTAGGCAGAGGCCGCCGATCAGATTAGATTTTTGATTTTGCCACCAAAGTGGCCAGTTTATTGTGTACCTCATATCCATCCTGTGGACGGTAGCGCAAGAGCATATGGATACACAAAAGGCCTAGGAACTAGGCCCAAAAAGGTTAGCAGGTGTACATATGGGTTTATATCTACATATCTACAGTTCACTTATCTGTTTCAAGCAAATTTAGGAAATTTGCCTAGCATATCTGGTATCTTATTTTCATTAATAAGATATCTTGACATGTCACATAGGTTATTATACTGTCTGTCTCTGTATTCCTCAATAAGTGGACAATTAAGCACATTGTGTTCAAGACAGTGACCATATGCCTGATCACATAATTTACATTTAGTTTGATCATCATTTGTGTGTCTCCCAAACTGCCAGAAATACTTGTAACCAAGCCTAAGTCTGGCCACTACAACATCAGTCAGTACTTGTAACCAAGCCTAAGTCTGGCCACTACAACATCAGTCAGTACTTGTAACCAAGCCTAAGTCTGGCCACTACAACATCAGTCAGTACTTGTAACCAAGCCTAAGCCTGGCCACTACAACATCAGTCAGTACTTGTAACCAAGCCTAAGCCTGGCCACTACAACATCAGTCAGTACTTGTAACCAAGCCTAAGTCTGGCCACTACAACATCAGTCAGTACTTGTAACCAAGCCTGAGCCTGGTCACTACAACATCAGTCAGTACTTGTAACCAATCCTAAGCCTGGCCACTACAACATCAGTCAGTACTTGTAACCAAGCCTGAGCCTGGCCACTACAACATCAGTCAGTACTTGTAACCAAGCCTGAGCCTGGCCACTACAACATCAATCAGTACTTGTAACCAAGCCTAAGTCTGGCCACTACAACATCAGTCAGTACTTGTAACCAAGCCTAAGCCTGGCCACTACAACATCAGTCAGTACTTGTAACCAAGCCTAAGTCTGGTGACTACAACATCAGTCAGTACTTGTAACCAAGCCTAAGTCTGGCCACTACAACATCAGTCAGTACTTGTAACCAAGCCTAAGCCTGGCTACTAAGGTCTACTAAGTCTGCCCGAAATGCCTAGCCATGCTAGGCGTTCTAGTGGTACACTCTGTAATCATTATTTAACTACATGTAAACCACACAACAACCAAATTCTGCAAATTCAACATTGTAATCTTTATAGAGAATAAACTTTGAATTTAAAAAAAATATTTGAATTACTATAACATCAGTCAGTACATGTAACCGAACCTAAGCCTGGCCACTACAACAACAGTCAGTACTTGTAGCCAAGCCTAAGCCTGGCCACTACAACATCAATCATTACTTGTAACCAAGCCTAAGCCTGGCCACTACAACATCAGTCAGTGTTCACATTGCAAGTTGCTCCATAAACGTACTTATCTACGTTCATGTTTTCATAGTGGGTTATAGATCTACTCAAGCTTCTAACTGCATTCCCATAACAATCATTTTCATTATTTACTTCTCTCCTAATATTATTCCTAATGCTAGACACAGATATACCAAAGTTATATTCAACATTCTCTTTCAGGGTACTCTTCTTGGCTAACATATCAACTTTATCATGAAGGAGTAATCCCATGCGTGCTGGGATCCATAGCAATTGTACATTAACTCCTTTGTCTCTGATTTTTGAGTATCTATACCTGGCTTCTCCAATGAGCATGTTGTTGGAGTCATTATATGAGTCAAGAGCCTTCAGTGATGACATAGAATCAGTAATGATGATAGAGTCAAGCTCAGTGTCATAGGTTAGCTTTAGCGCCATTAGGATTGCAAACAATTCAGTTTGCAGTGTAGACGCCCAGTTGTTAATTCTTATGCCTAACTCAACAAATTTATTATCGTTCTTAACTAGGGAGGTGGCAACAAGAGCAGATGCAGCCCTGCCAGAAGACTCCTGTTTAGATCCATCAGTGTATATAACTTGTGATAACTTGTTACTACCGGCTAGGTGAGAAATTTCTTCTTGAGCAGTTGCTTTAACAAGTGATTTAAGGAAGGGATTACTAGCAATGAGCTTCTTGGGAGGGACTTGTAGGTATGTGATATTAAATGAACACATCTTCCATGGAGGGGAGAAATGCTCTTGTTGTCTTCACTGATATAGTTCATGCAGGTTATAAAACTTAATGCAATTGCACGTTTTCACAACCCATTTAGATCTGGGTTCTGACAGTTAGAGGTTTATTTTACGTTCTCTCTCAAGGCCCCTGAGCAATAACACTACAGAAAACGGCATGTATGTCATGGGTAACTATAAGATCACGCTTATCGTCTGCATAAGTTAAGAGATAAGATAAGATTTCCTTCGGATTTTTAACCCCGGAGGGTTAGCCACCCAGGATAACCCAAGAAAGTCAGTGCGTCATCGAGGACTGTCTAACTTATTTCCATTGGGGTCCTCAGTCTTGTCCCCCAGGATGCGACCCACACCAGTCGACTAACACCCAGGTACCTATTTGCTGCTAGGTGAACAGGACAACAGGTGTAAGGAAACGCGTCGAAATGTTTCTACACGTTGGAAATCGAACCCGGGATGTCCGTGTGTGAAGTGGGAGCTTGAGCCACCAGGCCACCATATACTAAAAAAGACATAGACAAAAATAACCGTGATTTTCTCAGTATATACATTTTTTTAAACGATCAGCTGAGCGCAATTTTCCTCAACTATCTGGGAAGTAACTTACTGATCTATTTCTTAGAAATATGTCATTATTAATGAAAGGATTGAAAGGATTTTCACAATAAACATAAAACAAAGAATGTTTTAAAAGATTACCGAAACAAATTTGAAAAATCCCAAATAATTTTTTTCCATTTGTGTGGGAGTAAAAGGCCGATATTTTCCTAATAAAAAAAAAATGCCAACAGTAATTTTGGGGGAAATGAAGATAAGGTATATTAAAGTATTTACAATTATAATATAAATGAATTAGCATTGTTTAAATGTCAATTTTAATAATTTTTAAAAAACATTTTTGTTTTTCAATTGTTTTTGGGTCTTTTTATTGAAACTTACCAGACTAACATTCATATTAAGTTTCTGAGAGTTGACCAAAAATGAACGAAATCGAACAGTAAATAAAAGATCAGAGAAAAATTACTGAGGTCGCCCCTTAGGTGCACTATCAAGAGTACGACTCCATTGTAAACCCGTACGGGTCTTGCAGGTGTTGGCAATGAGTGTGAAGACTCCCAGGTGTAGCAAGGAGGTCAGTGAGAGGTGGCTGCAGGAGGTCTTGAAGGAGCACCTTGCTGAGAGTCATCCTGGTGGTCAACACGACGTTACTACCTTCACTATCACCCCTGGTTAGTAGTAGTGGTGGTCAACATGACGTTACTACCTTCACTATCACCCCTGGTTAGTAGTAGTGGTGGTCAACATGACGTTACTACCTTCACTATCACCCCTGGTTAGTAGTAGTGGTGGTCAACATGACGTTACTACCTTCACTATCACCCCTGGTTAGTAGTAGTGGTGGTCAACATGACGTTACTACCTTCACTATCACCCCTGGTTAGTAGTAGTGGTGGTCAACATGACGTTACTACCTTCACTATCACCCCTGGTTAGTAGTAGTGGTGGTCAACATGACGTTACTACCTTCACTGTCACCCCTGGTTAGTAGTAGTGGTGGTCAACATGACGTTACTACCTTCACTATCACCCCTGGTAAGTAGTAATGGTGGTCAACACGACGTTACTACCTTCACTATCACCCCTGGTTAGTAGTAGTAGTAGTGGTCAACACGACGTTACTACCTTCACTATCACCCCTGGTTAGTAGTAGTGGTGGTCAACATGACGTTACTACCTTCACTATCACCCCTGGTTAGTAGTAGTGGTGGTCAATACGACTTTTACTACCTTCACTATCACCCCTGGTAAGTAGTAGTGGTGGTCAACACGACGTTACTACCTTCACTATCACCCCTGGTAAGTAGTAATGGTGGTCAACACGACGTTACTACCTTCACTATCACCCCTGGTTAGTAGTAGTAGTGGTCAACACGACGTTACTACCTTCACTATCACCCCTGGTTAGTAGTAGTAGTGGTCAACATGACGTTACTACTCCCTTCACTATCACCCCTGGTTAGTAGTAGTAGTGGTCAACACGGACGTTACTACCTTCACTATCACCCTGGTTAGTAGTAGTGGTGGTCAACATGACGTTACTACCTTCACTATCACCCCTGGTAAGTAGTAATGGTGGTCAACACGACGTTACTACCTTCACTATCACCCCTGGTTAGTAGTAGTAGTGGTCAACACGACGTTACTACCTTCACTATCACCCCTGGTTAGTAGTAGTGGTGGTCAACATGACGTTACTACCTTCACTATCACCCCTGGTAAGTAGTAATGGTGGTCAACACGACGTTACTACCTTCACTATCACCCTGGTTAGTAGTAGTAGTGGTCAACACGACGTTACTACCTTCACTATCACCCTGGTTAGTAGTAGTAGTGGTCAACACGACGTTACTACCTTCACTATCACCCCTGGTTAGTAGTAGTAGTGGTCAACATGACGTTACTACCTTCACTATCACCCCTGGTTAGTAGTAGTAGTGGTCAACACGACGTTACTACCTTCACTATCACCCCTGGTTAGTAGTAGTGGTGGTCAACACGACGTTACTACCTTCACTATCACCCCTGGTTAGTAGTAGTAGTAGTGGTCAACACGACGTTACTACCTTCACTATCACCCCTGGTTAGTAGTAGTAGTGGTCAACACGACGTTACTACCTTCACTATCACCCCTGGTTAGTAGTAGTAGTGGTCAACATGACGTTACTACCTTCACTATCACCCCTGGTTAGTAGTAGTGGTGGTCAACATGACGTTACTACCTTCACTATCACCCCTGGTAAGTAGTAATGGTGGTCAACACGACGTTACTACCTTCACTATCACCCCTGGTTAGTAGTAGTGGTGGTCAACATGACGTTACTACCTTCACTATCACCCCTGGTAAGTAGTAATGGTGGTCAACACGACGTTACTACCTTCACTATCACCCCTGGTTAGTAGTAGTAGTGGTCAACACGACGTTACTACCTTCACTATCACCCCTGGTTATTTAGTAGTAGTGGTCAACACGACGTTACTACCTTCACTATCACCCCTGGTTAGTAGTAGTAGTGGTCAACATGACGTTACTACCTTCACTATCACCCCTGGTTAGTAGTAGTAGTGGTCAACACGACGTTACTACCTTCACTATCACCCCTGGTTAGTAGTAGTGGTGGTCAACACGACGTTATTTACCTTCACTATCACCCCTGGTTAGTAGTAGTAGTAGTGGTCAACACGACGTTACTACCTTCACTATCACCCCTGGTTAGTAGTAGTAGTGGTCAACACGACGTTACTACCTTCACTATCACCCCTGGTTAGTAGTAGTAGTGGTCAACATGACGTTACTACCTTCACTATCACCCTGGTTAGTAGTAGTGGTGGTCAACATGACGTTACTACCTTCACTATCACCCCTGGTAAGTAGTAATGGTGGTCAACACGACGTTACTACCTTCACTATCACCCCTGGTTAGTAGTAGTAGTGGTCAACACGACGTTACTACCTTCACTATCACCCCTGGTTAGTAGTAGTAGTAGTGGTCAACACGACGTTACTACCTTCACTATCACCCCTGGTTAGTAGTAGTAGTGGTCAACATGACGTTACTACCTTCACTATCACCCTGGTTAGTAGTAGTAGTGGTCAACACGACGTTACTACCTTCACTATCACCCCTGGTTAGTAGTAGTAGTGGTCAACATGACGTTACTACCTTCACTATCACCCCTGGTTAGTAGTAGTAGTAGTGGTCAACACGACGTTACTACCTTCACTATCACCCCTGGTAAGTAGTAGTAGTAGTGGTCAACACGACGTTACTACCTTCACTATCACCCCTGGTTAGTAGTAGTAGTGGTCAACACGACGTTACTACCTTCACTATCACCCCTGGTTAGTAGTAGTAGTGGTCAACATGACGTTACTACCTTCACTATCACCCCTGGTTAGTAGTAGTAGTGGTCAACACGACGTTACTACCTTCACTATCACTCTTGGTAAGTAGTAGTGGTGGTCAACACGACGTTACTACCTTCACTATCGCCCCTGGTAAGTAGTAGTAGTAGTAGTCGTGGTCAACACGACGTTACTACCTTGGTAATAAATGGTATAAAATACCGACACAATGGAAATATAAACACAAATGCAATATAATGTGATCCTTTATTGACAACGTTTCACCCACACAGTGGGCTTTCTCAAGTCACACACGGATCTACCTGGGGTTGGAAGGTACGAGAGTATTTATAGTCAGAATGTTGAGGTCAGGTGAAGAATGCTGCATCTGATGATCCACCGGGTGGGGTTATAGAGTCTTGGGTAGCTTGGCAGGGGTATTGGACAAGTTGTAGACCTTCTGCAGTGTTCTATGTTCTTATGTGGGATAGCGATGAAGAAGTTTCTTGGCGAGTGGTTCAGCTATGTTATAGAAGCCATTGTTCTGGTTGAAATTGTTGGTTGTAGAGATAAGCGATGATTCCAGGATTCTTCTGTATTGAGTGTTGTCTTCTGTGGCTATAAGTCTTGAGTTTCTGTAGTTAATTAAATGGTTGTGTGAATTGCGATGCTGTACACAGGCATTCCTTGTATCGTCAGTCCTGCTTGCATATTGGTGTTCTGAAATGCGTGTTTGGAGGTCTCTTGATGTTTCGCCCACATATAATTTGTTGCAGTCATTACAAGGGATTATGTATACCCCTGCAGAGGATGGAGGCTTGTCCTGTCTACTACTGGTGATGTCCTTGATGGTCGTGGTTGTGGAGGTAGATACTTGGAATGATGTTTTGGCAAAGATGTTGGAAACATGTTTGGCAATGGAGTTGTTGGGGAGGACTATGTATCTCTTCTCGGCAGTGTCTTCTCTGGGTGTGTTGAAGATGTTTAATGCCCGCCGTCTGCAGTCTCTGATGAAGTGACTAGGATAGTGGAGTTTGGAAAATACTTGTTCAATTATAGTGCATTCTTCCTCAAGGAACTCATTGCTGCAGATTCTGAGTGCACGTAGGAAGAAGCCTATAATCACACCACGTTTGGTTTTGGTGTCGTGGTGAGAGTAGAAGTGGAGAAGATCGTTTTGGTTGGTGGGTTTTCGATAGACTTTAAAACGAAGTTCGTGGTCAGCTTTGCAGAGCAGAACATCAAGGAAAGGAAGAGTGTTGTCGACTTCTTCTTCAAGTGTGAACTGGATTGAAGGCTCGACCTGGTTGAGCTTGTCTTGGAGAGCTTGAACGTTGAAGCGTTTAGGAGTTAGGAGGAGAATGTCGTCAACATAACGGAGCCAGGTGACAGACGAAGGAATAATGGTGGAGAAACGTTCGGCTTCTAGATGTTCCATGTATAAGTTCGCCAGGACTGCACTGAGTGGCGAACCCATGGGTAGTCCAAAAGTCTGCTGAAAGAGGTGATTTTCGAAGGAGAAACACGTAAAGCCAACACATAGTTCAACAAGGTCGATGAAATCGCTGGCTGGAATGGGAAGATCAAGTGAATCGTCAATTTTCCTGCGCAAGAGATCGATGGCTTGTGTAGTAGGTACTTTGGTGAATAGGGAAGTCACGTCAAGGCTGGAAAGTTTCTTGTTCCTGATGTTGATGTTGCGAATGCGATTGAGAAGATCACCCGAGTGTTTGAGATGTGCTGGACTGATAGTGCCCAAGAGTTTAGAGAGGTGTTTGGCGAGAATTCCTGAGAGCTGGTGGGGAGCACTGCCTATTCCCGAGGATATGGGCCTTAGTGGGATACCAGGCTTGTGAGTCTTTGGCAGGCCATACATTCTGGCAGGTCTGGGGTTGCTGGGCATGGTGTGCAGAAGTTTCTTCCCTTGTTCTGAGCCCCTCAGAATGCGGCGAGTCCTTTGAAGAAAATTTTAGTAAGGTTGTCCACTTGGTTAGTTGTGAGAGGTTTGTAGGTATCTGGGTCATTAAGTAGATTGAGCATTTTGTTCCTGTAATCGTCAGTGTTCATGATAACAACACCACCTCCTTTATCAGCGGTGGTGACCCTGATGGTCCTGTCTTCTGCTAAACCTTTGAGTGCATTGATGTAACGTCGAGGTATGACTGGGGAGCTGCGTGTTGAGATGGCCATCGATCTCTTGCGCAGGAAAATTGACGATTCACTTGATCTTCCCATTCCAGCCAGCGATTTCATCGACCTTGTTGAACTATGTGTTGGCTTTACGTGTTTCTCCTTCGAAAATCACCTCTTTCAGCAGACTTTTGG